GATACAGAGCTAAATGTGCAAAAAATGGCAGTTTTTGAGAGAACTAAGCGTCCGATTTGAATGATTCAAAGAACTTTCTGCTAGTTTGAACGAAATAATTGCTTTTGGTAAAAAATTGTTTCAATTTTTTTTCAAAATTTTTTTTGGATATATCGAAAATAATTCAGATTTTAATTGTAATTCTTCCTATAGTTCTAATATACTTTAAACAAATAATTTTAACTTTGCAATTCAATTTACATAATTCTTATAAATATTAGACAATGTTACAATATTTATAATTTATTTGAGAACATTTAATATTCCTCGAACATTTCGTTACGCTGCGTGAAGTTCCAGCAATTTGCCTTAAGACACGATGCCATACACACCACTAGTTTTATATTTTACATTCTATTCACCGATTTTATATTTTTATCGAACTATTCTTATTCAAAAAAATTTTGAGAATCCCCGCCGCTTCCGTACCATGTACCTACCTGGCATCAGAGTATAAGGACGATAGTTGTTTTTACCGCAAGATCATTATTCTCAAGTGGTCGGAAGTGGACATTGTTTGAATTCTAGATTAGAATTTAAAGACAGGAATATCGAATTCCAGACAGGCGCTAAACATTAGCATAGATGATGATAGTAAAGTGTATAATCATATCGACAATCACATATTTACATGCGGATGTTTACGATTGCCAAATATTGATAGCGCCCCGATTGGTTTCATAAAATTCATAAAACGTTTCGAAATTTTTGATATATGATTAAGTCAGAATTTGCTAAATTTGTTTTCTCCAAAATTAAAACTATTGGTGTATGTCATCGTGCCTTAAGGCAGATTGCTGGAACTTCCCGTACGAGAATTATATATTATACCAAGTAGACACGCCGCTCGGTTTTGCTACTATCTTCTGGTTTATATTGTAAGATATTTATTGTTAGCAGTCTCTATAATAATATTAATTATTAGCAATCTCTATAATAAATCAAATAACTAGTGGTGTATGGCATCGTGCCTTAAGGTAAATTGCTGGAACTTCCCGTACCGTAATGAAATATTCGAGAAATTTTAAACGTTTTCAAATATATTATTAAAAATACTGTAACTTTCATTATTTTTGCTATCTTGTTATATCTGAGCAAATAAATAAATCATTTTATCTCCAGAACATTAACAATCGTCATTTCATTTCGAATTCAATTTCAAAACAAAAATAGTTGCCTCATTTGCACAAAATTGAAAAAGTGCTCCGTATAGTCACAGTCTAAACGCATTTGCAGATAATTTATGCGATATTTTCATTTATATTGTGCTTAGCTTGGCGGCATTTTCACATTTTTCAATAGTTTTCACAAAATTGGAAAAGTGCTCCACTACATAAACAGTCTAAACGCACTTGGGTAAACATTTGCACCAGAGTGGCGCTTAGACTGTGCTTAGCCTGGGTAATTTATCAATTTTTTTAATCCATCAAACAAAAATATTTTTTGAAAAAAAAAATAGGAAACAATTTTTTTTCCAAAATCAATTATTTTGTTGAAATAAGCAGAAAGTTCTTTGAATCATTCAAATCGGACGCTTACTTCTCTCAAAAACTGCCATTTTTTAACATTTACCTCTGTATCTCCAAAACCGCTGGGCCTACCTTTGCCAAAAACTAATAACCACTTTTCCCCGTCAATTAGCAAGAGGTGCCGAATTAATCCATCTGAGGATATATTTCTTACGATTAGAATAATATATACATTTTGAAACTGAATTGTAAATTTAAAATTCATATTTGATGTATAAAACTATGTATATTTTAAAATTTTAAATTCTTTTTCGGAAAATTTTGATATTACCTTTAACCGTATAAGTAAAAATCTTGGTACGGAACGCAAAAAAATGGTACTTATTTTTAAAAACTTCAATTATCTGATAATTTGATGTGCATACGGCTAATGTTCATTTTTGACCGCCTAATCTTTTTTTTTTTTACTAACTTTTATAACTACCCTATTGGAAGTTAACTAGTTGAAAATTGGCATTTTGCCTTCAGACAAATTGCATGAACTTCCCGAAATGTGTAATAATTGACTTAATGAATCGAAATTGAGATTTTGATATTTCGATAAAATTTTCAACTGTTTTAAAAACAAAGTAGTTTCTTTCAATTAAATCTAAACATTGCGATTTCCAATTGAATTTTCTGAAAATGTTTGACTTATCACATCACAAGAGCAAATATCAAATGACACAAATTTTGACTATATTTTCTCAAACTTTGATGAATTAACATTAAACTATTTGTGGTAGAGCCGTAATATTTTAATATCTTATTTTATCTTAAAGTTAACTAGTGGTGCATGGCATCATACCTTAAAGCCAAATGCCGGAACATCCCGTACCAGAAATATATATTCGAGGGAAAAAATCAGTAATCGATAAATATTGATCAATCGTTTACAAGAATTGTTTTATACATTTTCAAATAGATAATTATAATCACTATATTATATATATAGTCTATAAATTTTATCCTTCATACAGTGAGGATGTTATCACTCAAAGCACTTGAGAAAGTTTATATTAGCAAGAGGTGCCGAATGAATCCATCTGAGGATATATTTCTTAAATATACATTTTGAAACTGAATTGTAAATTTAAAATTCATACTTGATGTATAAAACTTCGTATATTTTTGAAAATTTTGATTTTAGCTTATAAGTAAAAATCTTGGTACGGAACCCAATAAAAAAATTAGTACTCATTTTTAAAATCTTCATCAATTATCTGATAATTTGATGTGCATACGGCTAATGCACATTTTTGACCACCAAATATCATTTGTTTTTATTTTTTTCTCTGCATCTCCGAAACCGCCAGACCTGCCTTTCCAAAAATTTCAGCAATTATTCATTTCGTCATTACAGGATAAATGTTTTTTGAATCATCCAAATCGGACGCTCCGTTCTCTCGAACTGAATTACCGTTTTGGCACTTTTTTCCCGTATCTTCCGAACGGCTAGACCTGCCTTCGCCAAAAACTAATTAGCACGTCTCCTTATCAATACGATCGGTGTTCCCGAAATCGTCGACGAAAATTTGAATCCGCACACACATCCATTTTTCTAAGGTATGCCGAAATGTTCAGAAATCTTTGAAACGTAAACATATAAAAATTCAGAAGTTAACTGAGTGTAAGTGGCATTTTGCCTTAAGCCAAGTTGCATGAACTTTACGATTTGTGAAATGTTTTTATTATTACATGTTTTTAGTATTATTTTTAATAATCATAAATTTTATTTATTTTATCATTACTTGCTTTTATTTTATATTAAATCATCCTAATGCGGATATCATTTTAATGAAAATACTATACTTTAATTTGTACTCAATTTTGTTTTTATTTATATTACTATTTACTTATGTTACATGTTTTTAATAAATGCAATTTTCAATTGTTCCCAAATTTAATTTTCGTATGTCCCATATAAATACACTGAAATTCCATTCGTTTCATCATTCGGTTTTGCTAATTGTAAGTTTTTTGTATTAAATATTTAATGTAAATTCACTATTAACGTCCAAAAGAAGTTCGTTTCCGACGATTTGATAATTTTATATTCACTCGTCATTTCATGTTATTCTGAATCGTTTGATACCAAATTTAGGAAAAGTATCATATAAATATACAGAAATGCCATTAATTCGTTTCATATCTGGTTTTGCTAAGTTTTTTTTTAAATTTTAAAGTAAATTTACTATTTATTAATTTCCCAAAGAAGTTTGTGTTCGACGATTTGCTAATTTTGTTTACTTGACGTTTCGAGTTATTTTGAATCATTTGATACCAAATTTGGAAAAAGTAGTGTTTGGGGCCGATTTTTGACTTTTCGTTGAAATTTTCCAAAACAGGAATTGATTTTGAAAATTCGAAAACCTATTTGAAAGATATAATTTGGAAAATCATGCTGATTACTTTAGGACCGGGCTGAAATGTTAAATAATTTTTTTTAGCATCTTTAATTTAATATAACATATCCTTATATATAATTCATGTACTAAATGAATACCTTAAGTTAGTAGAGGCTTAAGAAAATTGTAGGTCACTTTCAGGACATAACAAATATGTGTGTGCCTATCAGTATAATTAGTGTTTGATAGATATCAATTGGAAATCGCATTAATTAGTTTTTAGTGAAAAGCGAAAGAAATATTTTCATAATTCACAATTGTAAATTTTATTTAAGTAAATCTCAGTTTCTATCGAGTTATTATTCATGCAACTTGCCTCAAGGCAAAATGCCACTGACACACAGTTTTGTTTTTGTTTCGTTTGAGACCAAAATTGGAAAATAGTATGTGTCAAGTTTTTTATTCTATTTTTTCAGTATTATCTTTGTTTTCATGATTTTTCTTTATTGTTAGTATTTTATTTTTTAATTTTTAACTTTTCCTAGGGTAATAGTTAATAATTCAAAAAACTTTTTGCTTGTGCCTATACGATTGCTTTTAGGAAAGAGCAAAAAATTTTTAGAATCGAAAATAATTAGAATTTTAATTTTAATAATTTCCAAAGTTCACTTATGTACTTCAAATAAATAATTTTAACTTCTCAATTTAGTTTATATAATTCTTAGAAATATTAGGCTATTAAGTTTAATTTACCTTTCTGTAAACATATATAAACGTTGTCGTCCAATTCATAAGCTCATATATTTTGTCTACAAAATAAGAACAATGAATACTACCGTTTAGGACATTTAATATGCCTCGAATATTTAATTACTGTACTGCAAGTTCCAGCAATTTGCCTGAAGGCACGATGCCATACACTACTAGTTTATTAATACAATTATTTATTTATACATTTATCTGTTATTTATCTCAAGTATTTTGTTCATTTATCAATTTTTCGTATATATATATTTTTTAATGTTTATTTTTACTTTTATTTTTATATTTAATTAAAAATAAATATAATTAAAATTTATAATTACATTGATAATTATCTAATCGGACCAATTCGAGTTTAGTTGCGCACGATGTCATTTTTGGCGCATGTCAAGTGGCTCCGCCGGCGACTTGATGGCAAACTAAGTCTGCGCGGTTGTCAACTCGTTCATTTATGTGATAGGCAGCAAAGCAAGAGGACCTCCAGGACCAAGAAAAGACCCAGGAAAGTACCCAATAATAATAAGTTGGTTACGAGAACGCAAGCAAAATCAAACAAATCATTGAGAGTTCTCATTCATTCATTCGCGTTTGCTTGTATTGTTTTTAGTTTTGTGCAATTTTTGTTTTAACAACTTGTGACGCCGACGGTAGATTGTGAACGGCATACGTAATTTGGCGCAATTCTATCTATTTAACATATATAAACTCCTGCGATATAGCATTCAATTTTTTTTTAATTCTACTTTGTTAACAAATTATCAATTATGTAATGCCGTGATTCAGATAATTACTTGCATGCTAATATAGTAGTTTGGGGTAGTAGTAAATTATGTAGGTAGCATTCGTAGTTCTAGTTTTGACTGACACACTAACACAATAATCCACTATTAAACAACAATGTAATGATCTGAATCATTTGACATTATGTATTACTCAATTATATAATTATAAACTATCGTGATTTATAAACAACTGCCGCAGTTTGCAATCCGTATAGCATTGCGCCAATTTATGGAGAATTATTCTAATATGCATAAATTTTTACATTGATGCATCGATTTTTTTTTCATCTCTGTTGGAGCTCAAGTGCCTATCAGGCGGTCTGTATCCTTTATCAAACATTTTAAAAGACGTGTTCTAATCTTACGTTTTTTTTATTCCAGATTCATATGCACACTTCTGAATCAACAGCCCTCATCGCTTATAATCCATCAAACAGTAAGAAGTTATCAAGTATCCATCAGGCAGTCTGTATCCTTTATCAGACATTTTAAAAGACGTGTTCTAATCTTTTGTTTTTTTTTTTTCAGATTCAATCATCCACTTCTGAATCAACAGCCCTCATCACTTATAATCCAACAAACAGTAAGAAGTTATCAAGTATCTATCAGGCAGTCTGTATCCTTTATCAAACATTTTAAAAGACGTGTTCTAATCTTTTGTTTTTTTTTTTCAGATTCAATCATCCACTTCTGAATCAACAGCCCTCATCGCCTTCAATCCAACAAACAGAAGTTATCAAGTATCTATCAGGCAGTCTGTATCCTTTATCAAACATTTTAAGAGACGTGTTCTAATCTTTTGTTTTTTTTTTCAGATTCAATCATCCACTTCTGAATCAACAGCCCTAGTCGCCTTCAATCCAACAAACAGTAAGAAGTTATCAAGTATCTATCAGGCAGTCTGTATCCTTTATCAAACATTTTAAAAGACGTGTTCTAATCTTTTGTTTTTTTTTTCAGATTCAATCATCCACTTCTGAATCAACAGCCCTCATCACTTATAATCCATCAAACAGTAAGAACTTATCAAGTATCTATCAGGCAGTCTGTATCCTTTATCAAACATTTTAAGAGACGTGTTCTAATCTTTTGTTTTTTTTTTCAGATTCAATCATCCACTTCTGAATCAACAGCCCTAGTCGCCTTCAATCCAACAAACAGTAAGAAGTTATCAAGTATCTATCAGGCAGTCTGTATCCTTTATCAAACATTTTAAAAGACGTGTTCCAATCTTTTGTTTTTTTTTTCAGATTCAATCATCCACTTCTGATTCAACAGCCCTCATCGCTTATAATCCATCAAACATTATCAAGTATCTATCAGGCAGTCTGTATCCTTTATCAAACATTTTAAGAGACATGTTCTAATCTTTTGTTTTTTTTATTCCAGATTCACATGCACACTTCTGAATCGATCGACTCTAATCAGACTGTAAGCGCTCATGAAGGATCAGTCGACAATCAACTGCATGGGTGGAACACTAATTCTTATAAATTTGCACAAGTGGTTCTTTTTGTAACTGTTTAGTCTTGCATGCATGTTCTTACCAGTAGTCTTACTAACTCATTAACAATACTAACATTTTAATAACTTAGTTTGATCAGTTACAATAAAAACCACTTGTTGCAGTTCACTTAGGAAGACTTAGTGAAACGGCTCAGAAGAAAACACTTGGTGAGTTACATTTTTATAATGTATTATAGTAGTCTGAATTATTATTAATTCGATGCTTTTGTTTACAGGGTAAACAATGACCGCTTCAGGATGCTCGCACACCTGCCTGCATTGGACCTGTCGTGTTGTCAGAAACATTTTCTCAATGGTGCTCCTAGAGAAAAGATACATGGTGATGTGTTTTATATTGGGAAGCACAAAATTAATTTGTGCGTTTAATCAAGGATTATGACTTGAATAATTATAATATATTCATCTAATTATTAAATAAATACATTGTGTATCTAGTTCAATTTGTTGTTTTAATTTCTATTAATTATAAAATGTTACTTAAATTACATAAATACATTAAAACTATCTTAATGTTATAGGTATAATAGAAGAATATCATATCAGTTCCGATAGATAAAGACAATCTGAAGTGACAGCAACCGAGTGGCTACATTGTGAAGACTGCGGATACAGCAGTTTGGATATTAAAACATTTGTTGTGCAAAAAATATAAGTATTAGAATATTTTTATACTTTATATATAATATATAATACACTTAAGAATTATGTTAAATATATTTATTGATTCATTTTTATAAGCGTATTTGGCATAACTTCTGGCTTCCTTTTACTTTCCCTCTGAATGAATTGTACTCTGATCTCATCACCCTACTTGAATGTCTTGGATTTTGGTCTCATCTTGCTCGAATGGTCTCTGACTGATTTTACCCTGGTCTCTGGTCTATGATTTTACCCTGGTCTCTGGTCTCTGGTCTCTGGTCTCTGGACTCTGGTCTCTGATTTTACCCTGGTCCCTGGTCTCTGGTCTCTGATTTTACCCTGGTCTCTGGTCTCTGCTCTCTGGTCTCTGATTTTACCCTGGTCTCTGGTCTCTGCTCTCTGGTCTCTGATTTTACCCTGGTCTCTGGTTTCTGGTCTCTCATTTTACCCTGGTCCCTGGTCTCTGGTCTCTGATTTTACCCTGGTCTCTGGTCTCTGGTCTCTGATTTTACCCTGGTCTCTGGTCTCTGATTTTACCCTGGCCTCTGGTCTCTGGTCTCTGATTTTACCCTGGTCTCTGGTCTCTGGTCTCTGATTTTACCCTGGTCTCTGGTCTCTGATTTTACCCTGGTCTCTGGTCTCTGATTTTACCCTGGCCTCTGGTCTCTGGTCTCTGATTTTACCCTGGTCTCTGGTCTCTGATTTTACCCTGGTCTCTAATTGTTTCTTGCCCTTTGATTCGTTTTCATGTAAATTGTAATGTAAATAGACTTTTATATTTAGTTTATATTATTTTAATCATTTAATACCCGAAACAATATTTTTATATTACAATATTAATAAATCTTTCTTACAGGTTGTATCCAGTTGTTAATTCGACTAGTGCTGCTCCGAAACTTTGTCACGGATGGGTGGAACACTCATTCCCAAAAATAATCTGCAAGTGATTTCTGCGGCTGACTGTCTGCTGTTTATGCACCAGGATGATGGATCGATAGATCGTGCTGTCCCAAGTCACTTGTCAAGATTTTGCTATGTGTTGCATTGAGAAGCCAATGTCACAAACTTAAATGTTTGTAATACATTTATCTAAATATTGAATACAATTATTGTTAACCTTTTAAATTTGTTGTTTTATTCATACCATTATTGTTTTCTTTCATTGTGAGTCCTCAGGCACTCGATCATTTGCTAGAGATACAAACATATTAACTCATTTGCTCATGTAATTTTTTTTATTCACCACTCACTGAATTACATAAATATTTATGTCTTTGCATTTTATAGGTATCATGGGAGAAAATCATTTATCAATTCTGAGGAATTAAGACTAGATTGACTAAGAGTGAAGTGACCGGCAACCGATAAACCTCATTGTCATGTTTGGGTGTCTTAAACTTCTGGCCTCTAATGACTTCGCTGTCTTTTGTAATTAGATAAATCAAGACAAAGTAAAGTGAACAACAACCGATCGGCTTTACATATATTATATTGAGTATATATTTAAGAATTAGACAGGTCCCAAGTCACTTGCCAAGATTTACAAACATATTGACTCGTTTAATCATGTAATTTTTTATTCATTATTCACTAAACCATGGATTTTTACTCAATATAAACATGTCAAAAGCACACATTTTTCCTTTCATTATTTAATGTCTAAGTCATGATTTGAATTTTTACATATTTATATAATAGTAGTAATCATAATTAATAATATTAATGTTTATAATAGTAGCAATTGTAATTAATCTTTGTAATAAGTAAAAATTATTAATTATAAATGCTGTTCTATTGTAGTTAGAGTAAGAGTATGTTATAATAATATAATTATTATTTGTAAGATAACGATCTAACTTATATATAAATTTGTGTAATGCCATCAAATAAAATTATTGAACTTTATCTGTAAGTGTTTAATTTAATTTAATTTTTATCAATTTCAGTGATATATAATTGAACTTGTGTATACTTGCTAATTTATTATCAACTATTAATATTCGAGTCAATTTCAATTAAGCAAATTTAAAGTTTAGTTTAGAAATCCACGAATTGAGTAAAAAGCCATGGATATATATGCATGAGTTTTTAGCGTGAAACATTGAAAGAACAAAATTATGTTTTTGACACGTTTAATTTGAGTGAAAATCCATGACTTTTTAAACAGTTCGAAGTGGAAAATATTAATATTTTAAAAGTTTAATTTGAAACTAGCTACTAATATGTTGAAATTATTGTATATTATACAATGTTAATAAAATTATTGTAATTATAATATCTTTTAATTGATATTTCATGTTTTTAATTAGCTATATACTTTAGTTAATATGAGCACTGAATTAGATTGTCTTTGCAATTTTACTTAGAATTATTTAATGGCTCAAAGACTAATTATTTATTTCGACAATTCTGTGACAAACAGATTAATTAAATAGTTCAATTTAATTAATAAGTATAACTAGTGTTTGTTAGTTTTACTTAACTAAGAAAAATATATTTTTTTATGTATTTTTTTAACTTTAATAAATATGAGCAATTTATTAATTTAATTACTTTATTATTTTATTACTTCATTATAAAGGCTAAGATTGTGTTTGCAATTTTGCTCATAATTAAATTAATTATTTGCACAAAGACTTATTGCAACTGCTCTGTTGCAATTATATCAATTAATCAGTGTATTTTAATTAATATGTATAACACGTATCAGTTAGTTTTACTTAACTTAGAAAAAATATTTCCTTAGATCTTACTATTTTTTTCTTTTCTTATATACCGTGTAACTTTAAGAAAAATGAGCACTTTAATTAATTTAGATTGCATAATAATTAGTTCATATTAATTAATACCTATAACTTATATTAATTATTTTTGCTTCTAAACTTATAAAAAAAAATGTATCTTAAAGACTTAGAGAAATTTTTTCTTTTTATCTGTTATAACTTTTTTTTTATTTAATTTAACATATTTATAACCTTATTTAAATCCCGCGTGGTAAGGGATTTTTTTAACCCCCAGGTTTGGCGGTTACCTAACCATAGAATCCTGGTTTAAGGTAACCAGGACCCCGAACGTCAGGTAACCGGAATTCGGTGAACCCTGACGCACGGGTTTGGGGTCGGATTAGCTACCCTACAATTTTACAATTAACCCTCTTACCTCGATATTTTATTTTTTACCTTACCTGCGTCTCGAACCTGCTACCATATCCTTCCAATCTTCTATCCCATTCACTCCTCTTAGCCCGCTACTCCATGCTGATCACACCGAAACACCGCCACAAACTGGCTTATGTAGACTCGATATAGATAAGCCAGAAAATAATTCAACCGGCGACGATTTAACAAGTCAAAAGCACAAAAAAAGCCGAGTTTGCCACCGGTTGTGTGGCGTAACGGTTAGCGTGATGGCTTTGTACCGCAAAGGTAACGAGTTCGATCCCAGGATCGGACGGGAAAAAAGTTCGTCGTGTTGGCCGGTATACCATGCAGGCGTGCCGAACGTTACGTTGATGTAATTAAGAAAAGCTCCGTGTAGGTGAAGGGGTGAATGAAGAAAACCTTCCCTGCCTCGGGCACCCTCCCCAGGCATTGCGACCTGGCGGAGGGTGCCCTAGCGGATTTCTTCACTTTATTTACTTAACTAGACGGCGGGGGGTCGGGAGGCCCCCCCACGCGGGCGCGAAACCGGTCAATCAAGAACCAAGCCAGCCAGCCAGCCCCCGAATTCAACGCCACGCGCGCGCGCGCGCGCGTGCTTGTGCGTGTACGCGCGTGTGCGTGCACGTGCGTGTGCGCGCGCGTACCTAGCGGTGCAGTATATACATTCTTAAAAATGTACTAGTACGCGTTGCTACGCAACGCGTACTATTACATTTTCAAGAATGACATTTTTAAATAAGTACGCGTTGCTACGCAACGCGTACTTATTTAAAAATGTACTAGTACGCGTTGCTACGCAACGCGTACTTATTTAAGAATGTCATTCTTAAAAATGTACTAGTACGCGTTGCGTAGCAACGCGTACTAGTACATTTTTAAATAAGTACGCGTTGCGTAGCAACGCGTACTTATTTAAAAATGTCATTCTTAAAAATGTAATAGTACGCGTTGCGTAGCAACGC